GGGTACATGTGAATTTGTCTAAAGGTTGAATATAAATGTCTTAACATAACAATTATGAGAAAGACATGATGGCTATGTTAGCCAGTTGGATGAGATTTTTCCAAACTGTATATAGAAGCAACACACTGTATCCTATGAGAGAATTAATGTACACAATTATGATCTAATAAAAAACAAATTTAAAATTAAAAAAAATAGAGTTAAGTTTTATTCCAACACTTGCTTCCTAAAGTTCATAGAAACTAATAAATAATTTTTATTCTTTATCATTTTCTTATTTACTTTATTTCTCATAAGATTTTGAAGAATGAGATTCTGATTATTATTTATTGAGGAATATTATTATGTGATAGGAGTTTGGGCCATTTGGTCATTTGGACAGGATTCTTAAGTGATTCTAGAAATAAGTATTTTAACCATTAATCTGATTTGTTTACAGATATTTGATATTTCTTGGGATTTGTACCAGCCAAATAAACTTGTCAGCTGTGGTGTAAAACATATCAAGGTACTAGAAGGGTCTTGCTTTATAATAGCTATGTTTTGTTCTCTGCCACTAAGTACATGTCATACTATTAAGAAATTAGGGTACTTTTAGAATTTTGACAGTACTTATTTTTAAAATGCCAATGTTTTCATGTTCCTACTTTAAATCTGACAAATATTTATTGTATAGTTACTTCATGACATTGCTAAGGAATGAATAGGGAATTAATAAACCACTTTCCAAAAAGGAATTTATAGTCAAGCAAGGTAGGATTTACTATGTTCATCTTGTTTCTTTGTATTATATTTTACTTACACAGGAAAATGTGAGACTAGGATACCAAGTAAGCAAAGAATTTTTTATTCATAGAGCAAAGTGGTGTAATATAAGCGGGATAAAATGGTAGAAGCAACATAGAGTTGCCATTGCCACTTACTAGCTTACCTGGGATAAGTCAGTTAGCCTCTTTGAGCTTTTTTCATATCTTAAAACTCTGACTGCTGTCACCATCCTCAAAGAGTTGATGATTAAATAAGGCAATGTTTGTACAAGTGCTTGTTATAGTGCCTAGTACAAGGTAATCTTTCTGAAGTGTTACCTTTTCCTTTTTATATATTTGCTTCCTGATTTGACCTCAGCCTTGGTAGGCACTACTTACTTTGCTTATGAAAACTCTAAGTTTTATTTTATAATTAGAGTTCAGGCTTTGAAGCCTATAAAGTTAGTGGTGATATTCAGTCTTATGTTTATAGTTATTTTTAAATCACTGGTACAAATTAAAAATACTCTCTTTTCTTCCATTGCCTGACTTAACATTTCCTGGTAATAGTTATTTCCTAGTGAGTAAAAGATTCTGTGTTTCAGTCTTTCTTTCTTTTTTTTTTAGAGACAGAGTCTCACTATGTCACCCTCAGTAGAGTGTTATGGAGTCACAGCTCACAGCAACCTGAAACTCTTGGGCTTAAGTGATACTCTTGCTTCACCCTCCCAAGTAGCTGGGACTACAGGCACCTGCCACAATGCCCGGCTATTTTTTGTTGCAGTTGTCATTGTTGTTTAGCAGGCCCAGGCTGGGTTCGAACCCGCCAGCCTTAGTGCATGTGGCCAGTGCCATAACCACTGTGCTATGGGTGCTGAGGCCAGTCTTTCTTTTGATATGCTTACCTCCATCCTCATTTTCTCTAGTGCATCTTTAACTGCTGCTGCTGTTCTGGTTTTGATATTCTGATATTGATTTGATTGATGGATAGTATTAAATCTTTAATTTTGGGGTAAATTAACTGCCAAAGCTATATCTAGGCTTTAAGGCACTGTGAAGGTAGACATTTTTGTCTTGTTTACCTTGGATGAACAAGATGATATTTGATACAGTATTTGATATTTATTAAGTGCTTAATAAATGATTGGCAAATTAATTATAATAAAGAGATCTTACTGCCATTTAATATTCTTAATAAAGCTAAAGTTCCATGTGCAGGTTTTTTAAAAGTTCATCTTCTCAAATAAACTAAACAAATAGATTTTTAGTATGAGTTATATTTTCTTTCCTTTGGTGGAGGCAATGAATAGTATGGTAGTTCTCTTTGCAGGCAATACCAGTGAGGAAAGTCCCAGAGATGATATAGATCTGTACTGCCCAGTGGAGTAGCCATTAGTCACATGAAGCTATTCAAACATAAATTAGAGTTAAATAAAAATTTAAAATTGATTTCTTCAGTCACTCTAGCAGCCACATTTCAAATGCTCAAGAGCTACATGTATCTAGTGGTTACTATATGGGAAAGTATATACAAATAAAACATTTTCATCATCACTGGAAGTTCTACTGGACAGTACTAATCTGGATTCTGGAACAGTTAACCCTTGCTGAGCATTAAAATCATTTGGATACCCATGCTTCACTTCTCATAGGTTCTGTCTCAATGTATCTCAGTTGGGGGCCCAGGTATCCTGTTTTATAATCTCCCCAGGTGATTACAAAGTGAAGACAATTTGGGAATCACTGACCTAGTATAAGATAGTAAATTCAAATTGAGACTTGCTGGAAAAAAAAAAAGAGAACCAGCTATTCATATGTGTAGAAATTCTGGAGCTTTTAAGTTTAAAAATAATAAAGTTTTATTTATGAATGCACTCAGTAGCTATTTGAACAGATAACAATTTTTAGTTCTTTGAGGCTTCAGGTTTTAACATAAGTATGTAGTATTAATACATTATATTATTTTAAATGGTAATTTATGTATAATAAAGTTAAATTTATTCTCTGGGCCTAACTTCTTCATGTAGAACTATTTAATGAACATATCCCTGCCATGCCCTATCTTTAAATTTATCTTTTACTTTTTAGAGATGGGGTCTCTCTCACTTTGTTGTCCAGGCTAGAGTGCAATGGCTATTCACAGGTGCATTCATAGTGCACTGCAGCCTCCAACCAACTCCTGGTCTCAAGTGATCCTCTTGCCTGACCTCCCGGATAGCTGGTCTGCAGGCTTGTGCTAATGTACCTTACTCCCTTTCTTTTTTTAATTCCTCTCTGTAAGCTATGAAGATTTCCTTGGATCCACATAATAGAGCAAAAACTCTGGTGATATAGATTCTTGTTGATCCTTCTTTTTGTTTATTCTTCTTTGAATAAACAAATCATTCCACATGGGGATCTATCTTATTTTGAAGCCTTATAAGCAAAGGAATTGCTCAGCTTTGAAAATAACAAGAGCACCTATTAATACATTTTTTTCCTGTCTTTACTGTTCCCATCAGTGATTGAACATTAGATTTGGTCTTTTTTGCGATTAGTGTATGGTGTCTTATCTTCATTTTCATTGCTAACCTATTCCCAGTTTTTTAACCTAAATTTCATGTAGGTGATTTTTCTCAGAAACCTAAGGAAAGCATAGCATATTTTTAAATCTAGTTCAACCCCATTACTCTTAAAGATAAGGATCAAAACCAGTGGCTTATCTGCTCTGTAGCTTTTGACACCAGTAGGATGAGGAAAAGAACATTGAATACCATTGTATCATAAAACAATTTCTTAGGTAATTTCTAGTCTGCTCTAATATAGCATCAAAGTGTTGTAAATGTCTTCCTTTATTTCATAAGTATCCTTTGGTAATTTGATTACATTATGTACCTTTTAGTTCTGGAGTTTATGTGGAAATGCTCTGACCCCAAAACGAGGTGTCTTTGGTAAGACGGGTGACCTTCAGACAATATTGTGCCTAGCTTGTGCGAGAGATGAATTAACATATTCTGGTGCACTCAATGGGGATATTTATGTCTGGAAAGGAATTAATCTTATACGAACAATACAAGGAGCCCATAATGTAAGTATATTTAAATATTTTAAATACTTTTAGGTGTTAACCACTTAGACTGTTAGATTGTCCTAGAACAACAGACTGCATAAAATAGTATATTTTTTCAAATCAGTTCAGTTGCTTGAAAAATTCTATTCTAACTGAATTACTTTGTTTTCAAGATTTCTTTCTTTCTTTTTTTTTTTTTTTTTTTTTTAGAGAGACAGAACTTTATTGCCCTTGGTAGACTGCTGTGGCGTCACAGCTCACAACTTCCAACTCCTGGGCTTAGGCGATTCTCTTGCCTCAGCCTCCCGCGTAGCTGGGACTACAGGCGCCCCCCACAATGCCCAGCTATTTTTTTGTTGCAGTTTGGTTGGGGCTGGGTTTGAACCTGCCAGCCTCGGTATATGGGGCTGCTGCCCTACTCACTGAGCCATAGGCGCCGCCCTGTTTTCGAGATTTCTTGATGGAACATTATACAATTAGACTTATGGATTTTTATTAAACTAGATATAATTAGTATTTTGTTAAAACCATTGCTTTAGTATGGTGTCTTTCTCAGAGTACTGTTAAAGAGAAGCTTATTGACTTCAACTTAAAAGTATTCTAGATTAGAGGCAAGACATAATTATAAGAGGGACTTTACCTAACAAATGTAGTCAGTGTAACCTACTTCGTATACCTTCATGAATCCCCAACAATAATAAAGAAAAATGTATTCTAGATTAACCATAGTAAAATAAAGCTAGTGCTCTTGAGGCTAACTTACCAGAAGTAAACTTGGGTGCAGTTCTAGAAAAAACATAAATATTGATCCCTTAAGTGAGTGGCAGAGGGATTTAATTTTTGTACTGGGTGAGATTTTCATGTGAATAAATTATCAAATCAGAAAGCTTGTTAAAATTTTTAGTGTTTTTGATTTGAGCTTTTTAGTAGTTGGGTCCCCTCCTTCAAGGTGAAGGGAGACAGCACAGAGCTGCCACCGAGTTAGTAATGAGATCTTCAAGTAGAAAAGTCCTTAGTATATTGAAGAACCACTTACAACAAAACTTGCTTTAAGCAAAATGCCTGAAGACCAAAACTATCAGTATGTAAAAATACTAGTTTCCTTAATTTACATTGATAATATCAGTATATAAAAATGATAGTTTCCTCATGTTTATCAGCACAGAATGTAATTGGTGTTTTAAACTTTTACTCATCTGCTGGGTAAAAAATAATAACTTCTTATTTGAATTTTATTTCCTATCTAGTTGTAAAACTCCCATGTATTTGACTACATGAATTCTTTTTCTATTAACTGGATTTTCTTATCCTGTGCTTTTTGCTTTTTTAAAAATTACTGTTGTTAAATTGTTTTTCTTTCCTTTCTTTATTTGTGTATTAGGGTTATTAGCCTTTTGACAGTCATACATGTAAAAATTTCCCTAATCTGTTTGTCTTTGTTTTATAATATCTTTTCTCATTTTTTGTGTCTCGTGGGTGACCTGCCATAGGTCCATCCCAGCCCAAAGTTATGTAAGTGTTGTTCTAACTTTTTTCTGACATTTTTGTTTTATATTTCACATTTAGAATTTTAAGTCTATCTATAATTCATTTTTATATATGGTTTAGGGTTTAAATTTATTTTCTTGTCTGTTATGCACATACCAGCAAATACCACTTTAGTTATATGCAGTTGTTCCTTAGTATCCTCAGAGGATTGGTTCTAGGACCCTCCCTATCTGTGCATACTCAAGTCCTATAGTTGGCCTTTTATATTCTTAGGTTTTGCATCCCTTGAATAGTATGGGATTTGTGTTTGGTTTCTGATGCAGAACCTGCAGGTATGAGGTAATAAATACCAACTGTATTTATTGAAAAAAATAAAAGTGAACCTACTGTTTGATCCAGCAATTTCACTACTAGGTATTTACCCAAAGGAAAAAAAGACACTTTATAGAAAGACATTTGCGCTCGAATGTTCATAGCAGGACAATTCACAATTGCAAAAATGTGGAAACAACCCAGTGCCCATCCAAAGGGCACTAACCAAGTGCCTGTTAATAAAATTTGGTATTTATATACCACAAATTACTACTCAGCTGTAAATAATTGTGCTTTAGTATCTTTTTTTTTTTCTTTTGGAGACAAAGTCTCACTATGTTGCCTTCAGTAGAGTGCTGTGGCATCACAGCTCACAGCAGCCTCTAACTCTTGGGCTTAAGTGATTCTCTTGCCTAAGCCAATCAAGAATGATTCTCTTGAGTAGCTGGGACTACATGAGCCCACCACAACGCCCAGCTATTTTTCTTTTGTTGCAGTTGTCACTGTTTTTTAGCTGGCGCAGGCTGGGTTCGAACCCCCTAGCCTTGGTATATGTGGCTGGCGCTGTAACCACTGTGCTACGGGCGCTGAGCCAATCTAGTATCTTTTTTAACAACCTGGATAGAGCTGGAGATCATTCTCTAAGTTGAAGTATCAAAAGAACAGAAAAACAAGCACCACATGTATGCAATACTAAATTGAAACTAGTCGATCAACACTTAATGTGCACATATGGAAGTAAAACTCAAGGAATCAAGTAGATGAGAGGGAGTAGAAGAGGTTGGGTTAATTCATACCTAATGTGTAAAAGGCACATATTCTGGGTTAAGGGCACACTTACAACTTTGACTTAAAATGTTTAAAAGGAAATTATGTAACCAAAACATGTGTACCCCATACTATTCTTTTTCTTTTTTCTTTCTTTTTTGAGACGTCTCACTTTGTTAGCATTGGAAAAGTGCCATGGTATCATAGCTTACAGCAGCCTCAAACTCTTGGGTTCCACTGATCCTCTTGCCTCAGTCTTCCAAATAGCTGGGACTATGGGTGACTACCACTACTTCTGCTATTTTTAGAGATGGGTTCTTGGTCTTGCTCAGGCTGGTTGAACTCCTGAGCTTAGGCAATTCATTTGCCTTGGCCTTGCAAAGTGCTAGGATTACAGGGATCAGCCACTGCACCTGCTCTCCTCCTATAATATTCTGAAATTTAAGAATTAATTTTAAATAGTCCATGTGTATGTGGACCTACGAGGTATAAACCCAGGTTGTTCAAAGGTCCACTGTATTATGTTCCTATGGATTTATTTCTAGAGTTTCTTTTGTATTTTCTGATCTGTTTATTCTTACATCATACCAAAGTATTATTAAGTGGGTTTCTACCTTCATAAAGTAGATTTTCTTAAAAAGTATATGTTATTTTATTTCCTTTTGTAGGCAGGAATTTTTAGTATGAATGCTTGTGAGGAAGGCTTTGCTACTGGGGGCAGAGATGGCTGTATTCGTCTTTGGGATTTAACTTTTAAACCAATTACTGTGATTGATCTCAGGGAAACAGACCAGGGATACAAAGGTAATAACAAAATAAATGTCTCATTTTACTAAACGAACTCTAAATGTACCAAAGATTGTCTTTTTCCTTTAGTAAAAGTAAATGCATGCCTGTTTTAAAAATATAAATAAGACTCACATTTGCCTCTACGTGGTATACATTTAATTGTCTGTTATAGTGGTTCCTGCAGAGAGAAGTGACAGGCATTTATTTTGGTAACCTTGGATTTTGAAAATAATTTTACTGTTAGAATGCTAAATATAATTAGTTAGCAAATAAACTGTTGGAAATAAAGTATGTTGGGAATTTGGGTTGATTTTAGTGTGTGTAAGTGTTTTTCTGTCATCCAGATTTGTCAGCAATTGGGAGGGTTTTAAGAATTTGATGTAATGAAACAGAATCTTTTACCATAAAAATTAATATATTTACTGTGGTGGTATTATGAGAGTAGGAATGGGAATCACACAGGTCTATATTTAAACCATATTCTAGTCACTTACAAGGTACGTAACCTTGGACTAGTAATTTATCCTTATGTGTAAATTGAGGATAATAAGTATAAATATAGGAATAAATGAGTTAATGTGTATAAAATGTTTAGAAGAATGTCTGGAACATAATAAGCTTGCAAATGTTAATTTATTCTATTTTAGTTTTTTTTTGCTGAGCATAGTTATACTCTAAAAATTATAGAATAATTTGAAACTTTTTCATATTTGATCCTCACAACAACATTGTGAGGTTTACAATATCTTTATGTCAACCATTCAATACAAATGAGAAAACTGAGGAAAACAATATCTTTTTTTTTTTTTTTTTTTGAGACAGAGCCTCAAGCTGTCGCCCTTGGTAGAGTGCTGTATATCTCACAGCAACCTCACAGCAACCTCCAACTCCTGGGCTCAAGCGAGTCTCCTGCCTTTACCTCCCCAGTAGCTGGGACTACAGGTGCCCACCACAATGTCCGGCTATTTTTTTGTTGCAGCCATCATTGTTGTTTGGCAGGCCTGGGCTGGATTCGAACCCACCAGCTCAGGTGTATGTGGCTGGCGCCTTAGCCGCTTGAGCCACAGGTGCCGAGCCAACAATATCTTTTCTAAGGTTCCAAAAGGGATTGTGGAATATGCTGAAAAGCAAAATTTTTCTTCTTAATGATTTTATGAACAGATTGAAGAAATAAAATATAGACAAGTGAAAAGCCAGATTATTGTAGGGAAAAATAATATATAATTTTATAAAAGTATTTATTGAGTAATTACTTATTGAATTATGCAGACTGTAAATGTTATAAGTCTTTGAGAAAGGAGACCGTATTTGTCCAGTTGAAGTTGGAGTTGTCTAACAAGAAAGAAGGAGGAAGAGTGCATGTTTGAAGGATGGGTAGAAGTTAGGTATATAAAAAGAGCGAACCACAATTCCATATAGGAAACAGTATGGACAATGGAAGAGATGTGAGTATGGATCAAGGACTTGCATATTTCTTCTATCTCACATCAAAGGTACAGAAAATATAAAAATTAACTTCAATTTAGGAAGACTGGCATTATATGATTACGGTGTTGCTGTTAAATACAATTTACTTTTTACTAGGTTTATCTGTGAGGAGTGTTTGTTGGAGAGGTGACCACATTCTAGTTGGAACACAGGACAGTGAAATTTTTGAAATTGTGGTACAAGAAAGAAATAAACCTTTCCTAATTATGCAAGGACACTGTGAAGGTGAACTTTGGGCGCTTGCTATTCATCCGACTAAACCTTTGGCTGTGACTGGAAGTGATGATCGATCAGTCAGGTAAGCAAATTGTAAGGTAATTGCAGAGACTGGACTTTATCCTAAGATAAATGTAAAGAAAACTCAGAGAAAAAGTTAAATTTAAATTTTATCAGAATGTTGCATAATAAATGAACATGGTTAGATGCTTAGAACTAATAGAATTAATACTATTAATGTTTTATTTTTTTCTCTGAAAAATATATGATATGGCTCTCATCAGAATGCTCAGAGCTACCGCTGCCTCTTTAACAGCAACGTAGTATTTCACTACATGAATATACTGTAGTTTATTCAACTAATCCATTACTGATGGAAGATTGGGTTCTTCCAGTTTTGTATATTTAGTAAATGCAATGCTTATAATGAATATTTTTATACATGTCTTTTTGTACATGTATAAATATTAATATCTCTATGATAAATTCTTAAAAATGTTCAAAGGATATATGCATTTTAAATTTTGATAATTAATGCTTTACACAGAGATAGTAATTTATACATGTATCATCAATATATGTCAGTGCCTATTTTCCGATACCCTTGCCAACACTCATTATTATCCTACAAGTTGCAAAATTATATCTTGTTATGTTTTGAAAAATAATGTATTTCTGTCATGTTGAGGGATGTTGAGTATGTCTTTTATGTGTAGAGGACATTTGTATTTCCTTTTTCGTGTCTTGTTTAAGCTCTTTGCCTATTTTCAATCTCTAAGTGATTTAAAATAGAATCTAATTATATCTATCTGCATATTAAGGAAATTATCCCTTTGTCTATGACAATGGTTCTCCAAGTGTGGTTCAGCATTACCTGGGAACTTGTAAGAAACGCAGATTCTCAGGCCTTTATAATTCAAAATTTCTTACAATTTTGATTGTGATTACAATGGATACTAAAGTTTAAGAACTTCTGGTAATGGGAGTTAAGATTTTTTTTTTTTTTTACTTTTTTTTCCATTTCATTTGTAAATATTACAGTTTCACCTTTAAAAGGTAATGCTAAACATCATTATAATACTGTTATCACATAGTATTCCTTTAATATAATAAAATATCTAACCAGTATATATCTAACCCCTGATTATCTCATAAAAAATTTTTATGGTTTTTAGAATTAGGATCCAAATAAGATCCATGTATTGCAATTGTTGATGTGTCCTCAATCTCTTTTATTCATTTTTAACTATAATATTTCTATAAGAAAAATTTGTTCTCATTTACTGTTTGGTTACCTTGGGTACAATTTGTACAGAAAAGGCAGAAAAGTTCTAATTCTTTCTCTACATCACTGTTACCAGACAAAGAGGGTCCAGCTGCCTGTCACTGTCAGCCAAATACAGAGACGAGGGTTAGGTCCAACTAGCTTCATTATCAGAAGGCCAGTGATTCTGGAGAACAGTAGCCACTCAGAAACTGTTCTGCCCTTCCATTTCCAAAACCAGTTTTTTACATAAAAGTTCAAAGTAAAAAAACTGTGTTAACCTTTATTTTAAACAGTAATCGGCATAACCCGTGACCCATGACAAACAAAAATTGGCGTAACTCATGACCCAGAACAACATTTCTAATTCAGAAGTTAATTTCCTACATCAACTGCTCTAAACTACTCAAGATATACACTTTTAGGTTAAAGCTGAATATATAAAACAATGAGGATGGAAGGCATGAGGTGAAGGTCACCCAGGACCGGCCAGACCAGCCGTGTTTTCTCAGCCCTAGCCTGACTGACTCCATCTTATTCTCACTGCATGCACTCTCATTACAAGTTTTAAAAATAATTACTTCCCTAGAATTCTTTCTATGAACTGCCAACATTCCTTGCCCTTTTTTTCCTGTAAGGTTGTTGATCTTTTTCTCCTTTATTTTTCACAGTCTTTTGTATGTTATGGATATTAACCATTTGTGATATAAGTTGCAAATAATTCCGCCAGTTCGTTACTTTATTTAGTTATTTTTTGAGACAGAGTCTCACTTTTTGCCCTCAGTCGAGTGCCATGGCATTGTAGCTCACAACAACCTCAAACTTTTTGGCTCAAGTGATCCTCTTACATCAGTTTTTCATTTTTAGTAGAGATGGGGCCTCACTTTTGCTCAGGCTGGTCTTTTTTTTTTTT